ACACAAGAAAAGAGGCCGACCCCCAGCTCACTACAACCTCCCTTCAGGTAGTTATAGAGAGCAGTAAGGTCTCCCCTGAGTCTCTTCTCCAGACTGAACAATCCCAGCTCCTTCAACCGCTCCTCATAAGGCTGTGTTCCAGACCCCTCACCAACTTTGTGGCCCTTCTTTGAACCCGCTCCAGGGCCTCAATGTCTTTTTTTTGCAGCAAGGGGCCCAAAACTGGACCCAGTACTTGAGGAGCGGCCTCACCAGAGCTGAGTACAGGGGGACAATTGCTTCCCTGTTCCTGCTGGCAACACTGTTTCTGATGCAAGCCAGGATACAATTGGCCTTCTTGGCCACCTGGGCACACCTCTGGCTCATGTTCAGCTGAACATCAATCAGTATCCCCAGGTCCATTTCCTCTACACAGTATTCCAACCACTCTGCCTGTAGCATTGCCTGTGGTTGTTGTGGCCAAAGTGCAGGACCCGGTATTTGGCCTTGTTGAACCTCATCCCATTGGCTTTAGCCCAGCTATCCAGCCTGTCTAGATCCCTCTGAAGGACCTTGCTACCCCTAGGCAGATTGACACTTCCAGCCAACTTGCTGTCATCCGCAAACTTACTGAGGGTGCACTCAATGCCCTCATCCAGAATAGAGCAGCGCTGGCCTTTAGGGAAGAGGTTGCTTTGCTCTTCAGACCTTGCTCCCTTCCCAGCCCCTCAGATGGGCAGAGCTGTGTATCCTTTGTTACCATGTCAGCCTCAGTGCTACCCCATGCCATGGGATCTCTCTGGGGCACTCAGGATGCACTCAGGAATTAAAATGTTCTGAAAGAAAGCAGGAATTCACATCCTTTGTAACACTATTTAGAGCAATATTTTATTGTACAGGATGTTGTAGCAAGGTGGGGCTTGGCCTCTTCTCACAGGTGACTGCAATAGGACGATAGGTGATGGCCTCCAGTTGTGCCAGGGGAGGTTCAGGTTGGATATTAGGAAAAATTTCTTCTCAGAAAGAGCGGTGCTGCAGTGGCACAGGCTGCCCAGAGAGGAGGTGGAGTCACCGTCCCTGGAAGTGCTTCAGAACTGTGTGGATGTGGCACTGAGGGACGTGGTCAGTGGGCATGGTGGGATGGGCTGATGGCTGGACTGGGTGATCTCTCTAAGATTGTCTTTTGCCAACCTTGATGATTCTCTGATTGTATGATTCTGAAGTCATAACAGACTGGTCTCCAAGGTCTTTATGTCTGCTAGGAGCAAAGCGCAGGGAAAGAGGGATATAGTCCTTAGCTAAGTGCTTACAAACCTCAGGTTTACAGCTATGAATGACTTTTGCTTCTGCCTTCCTGCACGTCACCTCCTCAGTGCTGCAGGTGTGATTCTGATGATGCTCTAAGCAGCGTGTGATAGGAATTAACTGGTATATGAGTCTGGTTTCTGTACTGTGCTTGCAAACTGAGGGGTAAAAATGAAGTGCATTTTATTACTCTTCAAAGAACGATAGGGCTGGCTGGCTGCCCTCCAGATGCTGATGCCACTCAAAGTAACTTATTTGACTAAGTTGGGATTTCTAGCAGCCTTTGCTTTTGTGAGTGTCCAGACAGACAGCACTCACAGATGGTACCTAATCTACTGTCTCTCCACATTGCCACAAAACTCCTCAGAGTTCATGAAGTAAGCAAACAACTTCTCTCCAAGACTCTGTAACATCCCCAGCTGATCCAGAATGCTCAAAGTAAACTTGAATTCATAGAACAGAGCCAGAGGGGGTAGGTTAAGCAATATATCCCATGGATTTTTGGACCAGATGATGGTTGGTTTCTGCATGAACCCAGTGCCCCTGTCTCTGTGTGTGTTTTCTAGATGATGGTCACCTCATATTCCCATATATCACCATTGTTTTTTCAATCTGTTACTAAAACCTCAGGAGAGAAATGAAGCCTCCTGCTCCCCATAATCTGACTGAGATGAACAGATGAAATTCAGAGAGAGGAACGAGTTGCAGCATTTCTTGGGATGGTGACTAATTGCTGCTCTTTCTTTCTCGTGGTATTGCACTCCTCAAGCTGCTTGATAGCTTGAAGATAAAATAACAACCAACTGTCATGACTCAAAACCAACCTGCAGGTTACCAGGTGCTTGCAAAAAGCATGGTACTTAATGACTGTGCCCAACCTACTGCAAACAGCCTTTCCTCATGCATGAAGAAGAGCGACGGGAAGCGTGGTTCTATGCTCAACAAATAACTTCGTCTCTGCAGCAGGCATCTCAGCCCCTCATCACACCCTGCTATCAGCTGCTATAGGGAAATGTGACTGGGACAGAAGAGTCTCAGTGCATGACAGTGAGGATGTTGGGCTGACTGAAAAAATGGGGATGCTCCAAGGAAAAGACATGGGAAAGAGGGAGAGCTTGAGGGCTTTAACCTGAGCTAAGAATCTGGAGAGATGACAGAGAGACAGGCTGCATTTGTCATCTGGGGAGAGGACAAGTCTTTCAGCAGGAGAAGTGATTGTTTTTAACCTGAATGCAGACAGCTGGCCAGAAGACAAGTGCAAGGTGACTAGAGGAGACGGGACAGACCCAGTGCAGGAGACAGCACCGTCAACCATAGCAGCAGCAGCTTTTTCTCAGCTGAAAAGTGATAGGATGTGAGGAAATGGCCTCACACTGCATCAGTGATGCAATCCTAGATGCATCCTAGATGTTAGGAGGAATTTCTTCATGGGAAGTGCGGTTACACATTGGTACTGGCTACCTAAGGAAGTAGTGGAGTTTTCATCCTCAGAGGCATTTAAGAGATGTCTGGATATGGTGCTTAAGGACATGGTTTAGCTGTGGATGAGGTAGTGTTAGGTGGTGGTTGGACTTGGTGATCTTATGTGTCTTTTCCAACTGAAGTGATCCTGTGATGTGAGCACTGGGTCACAGTCTGGACATCCCACATTGCTTAGGCAGAGTCTTCAAAATGCCTTTTATCCTTTTACAGAAGATTAAACAAACAAACAAACAGAAGTGAAAGTTATGATAGCTCAATACAAGTAGTTATATGCATCTACTGCTACATGTAAGCAACAATGGAAAATGTGGCAGGCTGATTACCAGTAGTCGGGTAAAACCACAGGGAGTAACCAAAGCAGTAACACAAGTTTGTCTGCATATAAATCAACGAGCTCCTACTGAGTAGGGAAATCCAGGAACATTCAGTAACACGAGGCAGTTCCAGACTGGTGTGTGGGAGACATGAAAATACTGTTTACAGATATTCTTATCTACAGCTCCTCCCTGATAGTCTTGAATGTGGCACAGCCTCAGGAGAGGGAATAAGTACTAAAATCAGAAAAAATACTATCAACAAGGGAGGTCTGGAAGCTACCTCTGCTGAGTCAGGGTGGAGAGATGCTTTCTTTTTTTGAAAGGAGATGAGAAGCATTGAGTTACAACTTTGCTTTTGCTTTCCCCCATTAATACTTTGTCTTCCCCCCCCAAAATAAGACTAAACCAAAATTCCTCTAAAGATTACTTCTGATTGAATCATGTTCCTGTTCAGTGTGACAGAATTCCTTAGCCTTTACCATCCTTTGGTCACAATGGGAGAGATGCTGCTACGGGTAGATGCCCAAGTCAAGGCCCTTGGCCAGCAAATTGGTAATCATAGCACAGGCACCATCTGGCATTTGAAAATAGTAAAAGTCCATATCCAAGATTTTTCATTTTTTTGTTTTTTTTTCTGGGGGGAGGAGAGGGTGGAGATGGAGTTCAGATGCAATTATACCACTTCATCGTGACAACCCTAAAAGAAACTGAGAAAACAAAGTAGGTGGCCCACAGACACAACAGTGACTGGTGCAAAAACTAGATGGATATTATGAGAGAAGCCCAGAGGGAGGGAGCCAGGAGTCCCCTGCCTCCCATACCAGCATAAGCAGGAACAAAAAATTGTGGTACCTAGCTCAGATAGTTTTCAGAAAGCAGAATTTCAAGTATTTCTGATGCCTGTTTGCTCTTCCTCATGATTGCCTCGATGAAGAGAATACACTGAATTTAGCCATACTTTGGACTCCACTGTGAAGCTCATTACGGTATTTAGGGCAGTGAATCTCACAAGAGAGGTGTTCTGCCTGAGCGTCCTATTTTTAACAATAAAATAAATTAATACATTAGCATATTCCTTTGCTGAATGGATTCCTATACCTTCAACACATCTGCATCAAACATCCTTTCCGTTTATCTCAAAGCTCAGCTGGAAATCCCAAGGGCAAGATGGTTGAAATGAGACTGTAGTAACATGGGGGTCAGCCTTTTCTCCTAGGGAACAGCAATAGGGAATGGCCTCAAGTTGCACCAGGGGAGGTTTGGGTTGGATATTAGGAGAAATTTCTTCTCAGAAAGAGCAGTGCTGCAGTGGCACAGGCTGCCCAGGGAGGTGGTGCAGTCACCATCCATGGAGGTGTTCCAGAACCGTGTGGATGTGGCACTGAGGGACGCGGTTGAGGGCATGGTGGGGGTGGGCTGGCGGTTGGACTTGATGATCTTAGATGTTTTTCCTATCTTAATGGCTCCAAAGGCAATGAGTATTCACTGATCAGAAGGCAAGAGCTCTCCAGTCCTGGCAGCTTCAGAAGCTAGTAGTGAGCAGAGAAACAGCTCTTGGTAACTCACCATTGCCAAGCAATGACATCCCCCCATTGCAAAGTGATGACATTCCTCCCTCCCCACCCCCGGGTATTTTTCTTTTTTCTTTCTCACTCTGCTCAACACACTCATGAATATTATTTTTCACCTCATCTTCAAAGTCACTAATTTTTATCTGTGCTAAGAGGAAGGGGATAAAAACCATATTCAGCCTCAGGAATACTCTCCCAACCATCTACTGTTTCAATGAGTTGAAAAATGAAGGATGGGACAGAATGCAAGAGCTTCAGGGAGTTTTTACCAAGATACACACAAAACTGTACAGGGTGAGAGTTTACTACAACAAGCTGTTTTCTTTACCTCATGGTATAGAAATACTCTTGAGTTTATCATGGAAGATCCTTCTATTCATATTCACTCACATCGCATAACACTCTTTTGCAGACAGGTTTGCAGTCATTCAAGATAACTGGTTGTACAAGTCTGAATGGGAATATTATAAGTAATCTGAGGAATCAGGAAAGGTGGGAAAAGAAAGAGGCCAGAGGCCTGACAACACCACATGAATGCAAAACATCAGCTGCATCAAACCCTTTTCATTCCAGGAGTCAAAAACAATGCCCCAGTCTCTTACCTTCTTTTGATCACAAAATGGGACAAAGTGCCTGCACTTACCTACATTTCTCCTGCTGGGGTTGGACCAGCAAAGACAGCCTCTTCAGAAGACCATCAATCAGCTGCCTTCAGTTAGAAAGGAGCCTGAAGCTGAGAAACATTCCTTCAAACCCTTCTTTCATATAGCAAAACTGGTAATTAAAACCAGTATAAGGAAGACTGTACAGTTTCTCTTTGTTGTCCCAGGGGAACAAGATGACAGGGAAATGGAGAAGAAGACAATTTATCTGAGTGAGAGTGGGGTGGGGAAGAACCAATAACCCCCAGAAGCTCACAAATGAAACGCTTACTCCCATGCTGGCTGATTTAATAGTTACTTATGCCAAACTGCTTCCCCCTTACTTTGCCTTGCTGTTTCTTTCTGTTCTCACCCTTGCTGTCTCTTCACTGTATGTTTGTATTTTACTGTATTTTTAAATGTTATAATCGAAACCCAGGTTGCACGTTTGTTGATATACAGAAGTTATCAGGTAATCTGTCCCTTCTACAAACACATTTCACGCCATCTTGTGTGCGTTAAGAATCAAATGGAGTGTGGTTCATTTTGAAATCTCCCCTTCCTTTGCTTCAAGACCAAAATGTGTGAAATTGCCCTGCTGACTTAAGGGTCATCAAAAGGCTTCTCTGCAGTCCTGCAAAGGTCTGCGGCGTTGTTTTAGGAGGGAGGAGTAATGTACTCTGCAAACACCAGGGCCGCTGTGATGGCAAGCTAAAGGCTGGATATCCTGGTGTCCCAGTTCCCAGAAGGCACAACGTGGTTGTGCTGCTAGAGGATTTCCCTTAAACACACTTCAATTCTCTTTAGGCTAGGGATGCAGAGGCAACCCCCTCCTGCTGGAATCTGGGCAGTGGTGGTGTCTGTGATCCACCAGTCTTGTTCACTGCCATTAGAACTGCCAAAAGTGGGGAAAAAACAACAGGAGGTCATTGGACAATAAAGACAAGGTTGGCATGCGGCCTCACTGAGGCCTTCCTGTACCTAAAAGGAGCTTGTAATCAGGAAGGAGAGCAACTTTTTACATGGGGAGATAGTGATAGGACAAGGGGGAACAGTTTTAGACTAAAAGGGCTGATATTTAGATTATATATCAAAGGAAATTTCTCACTGAGAGGGTGGTGAGGCACTGGCACAGGCTGCCCAGAGAAGCTGTGGTGCCCCATCCCTGGAGCTTCAAGGCCAGGTTGGATGGGGCCCTGAGCTGCTGGGTGGCAGCCCTGCTCACGGCATGGGGTTGGGGCAGGGTGGGCTTTGAGGTCCTTCCAACCCAACCATCCTGTGATTCTATGATTCTGTGGTATGCAGCTCTTCTCTGAACACTGGGTGTTTGCTGGGAAGCTTTTTACAGCCGTGTTTTGTCACCCCTCCCTTCCTGACTGGGATGAATGGATTTCACTCAGTTAACCACATCTCCCTCAGGTACACTTTCAAGTGAAAGAGAAACTTCTCAAAGAACTTTGAGGGCACATTTGGGACTTGCACACAACACAACAGTAGTTTGTTTGCAGCAGCTTAATTTAAATTGGATTTCACTTCAATTCGTTGAACAGCTGAGGAACCCCGTGTGGACAACACTTATTTGCCTTAAGTGTTGGCTTAAAATCAGTTCCTAATTGATTTAAGCTCCACTGATCAGATTTAAATATATATGTAAAAGGTCAACACAACCTTTTACATTGATTTAATGAAACGATATTGAAAGCATTGTTTGAGTAAACCGGTGCAGCCCTGTGTAAATGCTGTTTGAATTAGTATAATATGGATTGTCACAAGATGGAAAAACATCTCTCCCTTTCAAAGTCTGCAAATTCAATCTCTTGATTGAATGCTAGAAAGACAGAGTTTGGTGGACCCGTGTATTGATTTTATCATTAGCTATACAAAACAAATGGCTAATTCTGTAATTTCTGTAATAGGCACATTTTATGGCTTCCCTTGATGGCGTTGATCCACATACATGTATGTATCTACATGTATCTGTGTATGTTTATGTTCAAAAATCACAAGCATTCCCTTCTCAGTGTGAAAGTTCAAAATTCAAGCCTAGGAACGCTTTTGAAATAATGATCTTTAAAAGATTACTATCTGGAAGAAGAGGACTTTCTTTAAAATTTAGATATATTACAGTACAAAAGTATCACTTATGTCAGAAGCCTATTTCACTGTTTAGCAGGTGCAGATATTCATCATAAATTAAATTTCATTTGTGCTGAGAGGTTGAATTGGCGAGGAATCACTTTATTGGTATGTGAAATATTTACTACGTACAGCTGGATGGCTTCCCAGGAATTCTGATGAAATACATGAATGCACAAGAAAGCACATCCTTTCTTCACAAGTCTTGTGAGGGAAGATGTAAGCCTGCTCTTCCCAGTATTTGTGCAGTTTTTATCAACTGTCTGAATTGTCCATAGCAATTTATCTAGAATAACTGGTAAGAAAGAGCTTTTCATTTCGAAAGTTCTTTCTGTTGAATAAAGCTGCTGTTAAAGACTTGAATATACTATTTAAAATAAAACACACTTTTATTTAACATATATTTTTCTGCACCCTATTTAGAAATTGCCTTTTTCTTATAGAAGGGTGAAAAACCACATGTTGCTTTAAGCAAGTTCAGATGCTTGGAAGAGATGAGTGATATTGGGATCACTTCAAAAAGCACATGAACTTAGAAGCCAATAAGTTCCATTTGGCTGGGAATTGTTTGCACGTGTCCTTTGTATAAGAGGCATTATTTGCTAAAAATGATTTATTTATAAAAGTCATCTATCAATTTCTGCATCTGAGATACAAACAGTGTGGGGTACAAAGGTAGCAGAGACTTCCAGTTCTATCTAAAAACAGCCCTTAGTTACCTTCCATAATAGGTGATCTGATTTGCTGCGTAGAATAATCAATCTGCATGACAAATACAGGCCAGCTCAGCTCTCAGAGTGTTAAAACATAAGAAAAAAGGATGACAGTAGTGGGTTTCGTGTATCTGGAGAAGTCTTGGAGAAGTCTTAAATGAGCGCAGGCCACATTCCTTACAGCTGAGAAACCATGTTAAAAAAACAAACAAAAACTAAATTAAACAGCAATAAAAATCAATATCAACTGTTTTATATTTGAAAGTTAATACTGAGAGCTATGAAAGCTCTAGAGTTTACACGAGCAGCCTATAAAATATTAATATAAGTAACACCAGGGAACCTTGTAGAAACCACCTCTCTACAAATCCAAAGTGATATTAAAAAACAAAACAAACAAACAAACAAACAAAAAACCTGATTTTTCTTTTTAATTTTGAAATTTACTCTCTGTTCTTGGCTCTAAACTACACACATGCAGGTTTGAGGATGGGGATCTCTGAGATGAAGGCAAGTCCTCCATCCCACGTGTTACAAACTGCCTTGTAGCTTAAGCCATGTAACCAGAAGGTGAGCAGTACAATTGCATTTCCATTCTCCTAACGCTGTGGCTGTGCGCTGATCTGCACACGATAGGCTCCCATCTTGCCCTTGACCAACTCTTCTGGATTGGATAAGAACAACAGTATTTACATTATTTTTGCACAGATGCTCTGAATACTACTTTAAAATTTCATGCTTTGTGTGAATTATAGAAAGACAAGGTGCTCACAGGCAGCACATCACATTTGACTCTAGCACAGGGCATTTCACGTTCTGAATGGTCAAGGGAAAGTGTGAAGAAGAACCAACAGTTTTTGATTTAGCTGTTGAAAGCAGTCAGGTTCACATCTTTCAAGTCTTTTTTTTTTCCCAGTAAGATACTAACTCCCAAAGCTGTGAGTAGATGGAGCATTTCTCCATGAGCAATGCATGCATCACCGTAAAAGCATTGTGCTACTTTATTTGGACTCTAAAACTGCAGAGTAAGTGAGGAAATAATCTTTTTATTATAATGTTGAGTATTTTAATTAAAAGGGGAATTAATTGTGGCTTCTGCCGTTAGCGCTTGCACATTCATAGAGATTTCCATAGCAGATCCTACTTTCATTCTACAGACGTGAGTTTCTTTTTGGCCCCGTACACAAACTCATATAGCTGGTAGCCTTGCTGTATGCAATTAACAGAGAAGCAACCACATGGAGAAGCGACCTTTGAGTAAAGGAGCGGCCAGATCACTTGGGAGGAACTTTTTCCATAATCCGAATGCATCATTAATATTTTAAACGCTCATTGGAGTAGGACAGAAAACATCAGTCACTTCCATGTCGACTGCAATTCGCAGATACAAAAGCCCTATCCTAACAGCTAAAACACTGATGGAATGGCACTGGAAACTCTTGTTCCTATTTCCATAGGCTCAGCAATGCTTCAGTTGGCATTTCTATGAAGATCAGCTGAGGGCACGACATGCAGTAGCATACTGTACAGGAGTCGTACTTCAAGACAGAGACTGGAGCGTGCCAGTTTATTTCAAGAGCAGTCTAATCTCATCTATTTACTTAGGAGTATACACACTTGTGAGCACTGAAAAGGGTACTTCAAAACTTTTAATATCTTAAACAGTAACAAAACTAAATGCAATTCATATGCATAACATTTCTAAATCAGTTCATTTCCTACTTAAAAATTGACTCTTTTCCTTTAATAAATGTGTTCCTCAAGGAAAAAAGTCAGAAGTAGGAATTATCTTCAGTCTCAGCCAGGTCTTCATCCTCCATAAAGGTTTTTAATCTTCCAATTTTAGTAATGATTGAAGGAAGAGGACATGAAAATCTGCACCAAGTATAAATTTCAAGAATGCTTCTATTTGCCATTTGCATGTTAGATAATATTACTTCTTCTTTTGAAGAAGTAATAGACGTAATAAAAAAAAATAACACAAATTGTTCTTTCTTGACACTGCAGATCTCCGAAAACTGCCCGAAATGGCGAAACAGTATTGTCAGTCCAGCTGCCTCCAGATAAAATGAAATAATGCGTTGTGGCACAAGCAGGTTATGACAGTCTGAATGGAAAAGCCTGAGCAGAACAAAACTCAAAATGGAGCGAGGCTCCCCGACAGCAAAATCACAATGTGACCGACTTGAAAAGACAGAGGGAATAATGAAATCAAAACAAGTAGTAGGGATTTACCTTCGCAGCGTGCGCAGTTCGCTGGTCAGTTTGATGGTTACTTCTCTTGGATTAATTACTGAAAAGAGGAAGATAGGTGTGTTTGTAGGTCACCCTATTTGAGCTGGAAGGGCGGAAGAGCACATGATGCTGTGCAGGGCTGGTATACAGGATTTCTCACCCTTCTCCTTCAGGTGAGGAATTAAGATTCATGGAGGCATCTTTTGGTCAGTGCTTGGTGCTGGGAGTGGCTGCTGGCTCAGCCTCCTTCATGCCCTCTCAAAACTTTTTCCAGAGCAAATCCCAGTAACGAGCTCTATAAGAGGGCATCCCTCCTTTTACTATGTTGAGTGGTATTCATACCTTCCAGTATTCAACCTGGAGCAAGCTTTCTAAAGGAAACCAATCCATTGTGCTGAAAAAAAATCACGTAACGGAATGAAAATATCTCCCTGCACAGCCTGTTTGGTCCCTGTTAGACGTATTAGCCAGATCAATACTAGTTTACCAAGCTGGCTGGAAAAAAGTTGGAGCTATGTGAAATTTGTTTAATGCCTGCTAGATATCAAATAGGAAATGAGAACAATACATGGATATCGAGGCTTTCAAGGAGAAGCTTTGCTGTTGGGGAAGTTAAAGTGATCAAATGTGAAAGAACACAGACAATGACAAGAAATCTTTTCTGGGACACTAAATCCTGAGCTTGGGATGATGCAATGACAGCATCAGCACACGGGAAAACTCAGTTCTTTCCCTTGTGCTTACACTTCAAGACTGGGGCTTTTTCCTCTGCATTGATGTGAGCAATGTGAGAGCTGCACAGCCAGGTCATTCAGGGAGACTTGCACGAGGTCTGGACTGTGCTCATGTCCCACACAATTGCTCATTTTTACCAGAGCAAACAAAGGACAGCAAAAAGAGGGAAAGGCCCCAATGAAGAATGGGTTCAGGTCCAGAGGAGCCACTGTGCAGTGCTTCCTGTAATTTGCATTTGATTTTTAAACATATAAAGATTACATCAAGTACTAGGAAAAAGAATTAAAGAGATTGTGATACTTACTGGAAGACTTGGTTTTCTTTTCTGTGTGTGTGCAAGATCTTTCCTACCAGGGAAGAGTCATGCAACATGTATGTCTCTCCATTGCTTGTTTTCTGCCTTTCCTCTCTGGTTCTTCATCATTCTAGATTTGCTTTTGCTAATTCTCATCAGATAAATATGACTGACAGAGGAGACAAAGTTCAGAGTCGCAGACATTTTCATAGAATCACAGTCAGAGTTCCCCTGTCAAGGCAACAGTGAACTAAGAGCAGAGCAGAGCTCTTCATGAAACAGACTAAACTGCTCCTTGTCCTCTCTATAATACCTGCAGTGGAAGTGAAAATAAGTTGTATGGGTTTGTAACGAAAAGGAGTCTTTACAGCTGAGCAAAGGGCTGAATGAAGCAACTCCCCACCTCAGCATTCTCCTCCCCAACATCCCCCTGAAGGCCCGATGCCTTACCAGGAATCCAGTGCTGTCACACATGAGCTACCAGGCTTGGCAACAAATAAAGCAGGTAAAGAGCAATGGCTTTAATAGGAAAGCATTCAAACTATCTGATCAAAGGGTGCCTCCTACTCTTCAGTTCTGTGTCACTGTTGGCTGAACGCAGGCTGTATTATAGAAGATGTTCACGTCTTTAGTGAACACGTGTTAGCTTGTAAGTCAACAGAAATGGGTACACTGAGAGATGTGGTGTTTGGTGATTATGTCTTTTTGTCTTAAACAAGCCTAGAGAGGCAGATTATCAGTTTTGTGTACATTACTAACATCACTAAGATTTCAGAGAGAGCTGCACACTGAAGGAAAATAGCAGCTCGTGGCTAAAGGCTGGGATTAATATGCAATTATCATTATATTAAGATTTTGGGTCTGCACTACAATCCTATTTTTCATTAATTGCTGCCCTTGTCCTATTTTGTTTCTCTGGGAAAATAAGATAAAACGATACATTTTTGTTCTGTTTTTTGAGAGTAATAATGACATCTTTCAGACAGCACATCCTTACCTTCCTTTGGAAAGGCACTCACCAGGTGAGAGTCACAGAATGGAATGCTGTCTCCTCCAAAACCTCACAGAGCGGGGAAACTACGTTAAAGAACTGGAGGAAAAATGAAGATGGAGGCAATGTTAAGGCTACACGGCAGTGATTTACAGTAAAATATACTGCAGAGATAATGTAATTGTTCAAAGCCCAGAAACTATAACCCTTGGACGTTTTAAGTTAAAATCAAATTTAACAAGAAAACCAAATGAAGCATAAAGAAATGCAAAGCCCAAACATCCAAAAAATCTCAATTATGCTTGGTTAAAAGCTCTTTAAAATCTCTAACTAGCTAAAAGGCACGGCATTTGTGTGCATAATATGTGTGTGTTTATATATAAACTAATACACGCATGCTTTTGAAGATGAATCATGCATTTCCACTTCATACTTTGTAACTAGAAATTTGTTAGAAATCTCTTTCTGTTTTGCAGGGAAGGGAAAAAAAAAAAAAAAGAAGAAAAAAAAAGAACTGCACGCCTTTAGAAATCTCTTAATCGTATCCAAGTCCACAACTGTAGAACCATCTCAATACGAATGGTACGTTTTTGCCTGGTTACAGTCACCACAGTAACACCCATGTAGCTGCTAAAAAGCTCATTTCCTGGGGAAAAAAAAAAAAAAAAGAGCAGGGGAAAGCATACATTGGAGAGCAATATATGAACCAGATATCTGCAGTGCATCAGAGGGACCTCAGCAAGGCCTGTCAGAATCTGACAACAGTGCAAGGCGTGCACTGGAGGCTACATGCATCTCTTTGAGTTGCAGGAGGGTATCTCTATGAGCCCAAAGGGAACAGCTACAGATGCAAAGCCTCTGTGATAGAGGCAGCTACTGTACGAGGACTGGAGATTCCTGAGCCATCCATAGGCACTCTGCTCCTCTGGGAAGGAGAAGGCTTGAGAGCTGGGCTGAGGGAATGTGTGTGGTGTGTGAGGAGTCAGCCAGACCCAGCTCCACAGATCGGCCCTGTGATGGGGACTGTCCTAGTCCCAGGTGCCACACCAACCTTGTCTATCCAAGAGGCAGCCCTGAAAACATTAAGCAGTTGTTAGATCAAAATTGGATCCTGATGACATGGTAGAACAACAGCACAGGCATATTAATGATGAACCTCCCCTGGGCTGCTGTATAGAAATGATCAGGCTGTCATGAGGAGCTAAGGAGGGGTGTTCAAAGACAGCATCAGAAGCACCAGTTTTTATCATGGAATAAGATCTGTACTGACAAAGCTTAAAAGCCTGCCCCTCCTCTACTAGCAACGGCTGGATTTTCCCTGACTGACTACATTGTCTGCTCCATGTCCACAACTCAGATGCAACATTGTTAATTACAGAGGTATTGGTTGTAGCCTTACATAGCTTTGCACTATTATGTGCATATTAAACTGGAAAAACACAGTTTACTTTCCCCAAACTAAGAGCAATACCTCCATCATGTAAAGGATTAACATAAGAAGCTACCTGACATCTGCTAGTATTTCCCTGTAGGAGAGTCAGGCTGCTTAACTTGGATCAGTGGCCAATGCCATCATGCATTCAGAAGCTTTGCTCTGCCTCAGAATAGAAAGTCTCGCTCTCTTGCACACATCATTGTTTAAATTGGTCAAATGCACTGATTAAAACAACAACAACAACAACAAGCAACAAAAACCAAAAGTACTTCAGTGAGCCTATTTTTCTGAGAAGAACTGCATGTTAGCCAGTTTGCTGTATTCCCATCTTCTAGTACCTGCTCAATGAGTTACAGGCTGAGCGTTTCAGTTCTCTGCTGCCACGACACTCCTGCTTGGATCATGACAATAAAAAGCTCTGTAAAGAAAACCAACTTGGGTTCTTTGTGGTCCCTAGAGGAGAAAACCAACACAGAGCTTCAGACACGGTCTGTTCTGGCCTATAACAGCACACTGGAGACCTGCACTCCCAAGAAGCTCCCAAACCAAGACCACACATCAACCACACAGCACTGCTTGGTTCCCCAGCATCCTAGGAACGGCACATTTTAAACCCTACAGAAACCATTCTTCCTTGTCTACAACCAACTTGTGTTTCACTTTTTCTTTGCTCAGAGCTCTGGTCGTCAGACTTAGCCAGGCAGGAATTAATTTTCCTTTGTGATTGTTAGTAGATAACTCAATCACGGTCGTTAAAAAAGGTAAGATAGACAGCAAGACAAACTGAGATGGCAAAAGGAGCTGAAGGGAGAGCACTGTTGAACTTACCCTGCTTCACTATCCATTTGCTATAAGCTCCGATTTAAAATGCAACTTATTGTTTTTATCTCTGAAATACAATTGATTTTATAAGTCAGATGTGATCCCAGAGCCAGTGCTGTGCAAACAGTGATTTTTAACAAAGCAGAGGCTAAGCACGTGTGAAAGGAGCCCACACAGCAGAGATGCTGCAATGATCTCAGAAACAGTAGAAACTGAAACGAAGTTTAGCTCTGCATGCTAATGAAAAATGCCTATGCAGGTTCCTAGACAAACCAGTTGAGAAGAAATCAAAGAAGGTCAATTTATTGCAGTGCAGACTTCTGTTATCCAGTTACATGAAGAACTCATCATAATTAAAACATTTTGGTCATTTATCTCATATGGATTTTTTCTAAGTTTAAGCCTAACACTTTTTAGCTTTACAGTAATTTCCCTAAGAGTAATTACTAAATTTCAATAGCAGCAATTTGGAAGCTCAGAAGTACATAACCTCAGCCTCGCTCCCTCATCATAGTGAAGACTTTTGCCTTGAAACCTACTTTCCCCAATTCACATTTTTAAAGCGTGACACATGATCAATAATCTGAAAGCGCAAAAAACTTTCTCATCTGATAATTCTATTGATTTTTAGACCAAATAATTAAACTAACTGTTAAGACCACGTTCATCAATACAATCTGACTGCTTTGTTCCCCCCCCTCTTGAGCAAGAGGAATCAATCAGGGTCTCCTGGCTCGTGTAACCAGTCACAGCTACCGTGCTGCTCTGACATGATACCCAACAGCCATTTGACACCTGACTGTCCTCACCTTGCTCTTATAACCACTTACCTGCACACCCCAGGTTCCAAACTCTGCCCTCCTCCTGAATCCTCTACATTGCACTGTACATTCCCAGAAGCCTCCATCTCCATTCTGTCCTGTGTGCTGCTTTCTACACTATCAGGTTGCTTTGTGAAACGTCAGTTTTAGAAGACATATTGTATTTTTCCCCACAGGTAACAGAGATTAAGTGGCAAATCATGCTAAACGCCAACTTTATTTCCATTTCGGCGACGGAAGCATATCTACAAATTAACACCCTCTGCTCAGACTGTACTTTAATAGTTGGACTTCACTACCAACCAGTTTCTGCAAAGCAGAGCAGGTTGCTGGTAGAGTATGAAATGGGAAAGTCAAGAAGAGTCTCTGAGGCTTTCTCTGAAAGCCAAGCAGCTTCTTCTTAGGGATGGCTCACTGAACTGAAAATTTCATCTCATTCTCTGATTCACAGAGATTAAGACTTGTGGTTTAGTTCCAAATAAAATAAAATAAAATAAAATAAAATCCCTCCCTAACATGTCTTGCTTATACCTGAGTTTTTGCTGAATCAAGAAGTCCAAGAAAACGTGCCTTAAGGTTATGCATATCCACGCTCGTACGAGCCAGTGAAAGAAGTGGATCCTGCAGTGAGGATCTGGAAATGGATTCACTCTCATCCAGCAGATGACAACTTGTGCTGCCTCTGAGCTGCTCCTGCACCCAAGCGGTTGGAGCGAGGAATCTCTTCAAGGCAGTAAATTGGGATACGACTGGAGATTGGGGACCTACGTCACTGTTACGTGCAGTCAGAGAAAGGATTCTTTGTGCTGGTTTCCTGATGAGCAATGTGTAAAATGTTCACAGATTTGGTTGTATTCAAGGGACGCAGTGGCACGTATGTACATACCAGCTGACACTGTGATTATCTACCTCTGCAACAACTGAGACAAAGCCCTCAACAATTTCAGCTGGTAACACTCGAATTTGATACATTCTATGAAATGCACTCTCACTGGAGCAACACATTCAAAACATTTGAACTGCACAACACCAGAGATGGTTAGAAACTCTGGAAGATTTGTAGAACATGGAGCAACTCACAGCCTGAATCAGGCACTTTGCACGGCAGAGCACAGCAGTCAGTCCTAGCAGATCCAGTACTCCCCATCCAAACACTTCTTCACTGACAAACATTCTTCAGCATTCCTAAGATCAACTTAGGAACTCAACAGGTGTTTGCAAGTTGCAGGAGAGATAGAAATCAGTGTTTGCCTATATTTGACAATGTTATTTGAAGTACAAGATAGATCACAGATAATATTTAAATCTCTCTGAAAAATAATGGTTTCTGAAGTTTTTAGGTCATTTTGATAGCCTTGCAACTTAATGGCTCAATAAATGACCTTCTAGAAAATGTATTTTTAAAATCACTTTTAAATATGTATTCCAAAGGCTTATTTACAGTACATCCAACCAATAACTGCAACTAAGCACATGTACAGATGTGGTCATCAGCAGACACAGATTTTCAGCTACTTACACAGCTCCAAAATCCAAGACCTTTCCCAGTTGGTATGGCTCTAACAGGTGCAAATGGAAGAAAAATGGGTTAGATTGGAAGGACATTTAAAGTAATGATCAGTTCTTTGCATCCACACTTGACAAGCCTCCGTTCTAACAGTTCACACTGTGATATACAATTACCTAACAGTAACTTCCATCAGAGATTAGTAGATTTTCCCTTCTAGGTGAAGCTTGCTACATTAAACCTTGTGAAAGCATTCATTTTTGACCACATTTAAAAAACAAAACTACAGTATGTCTTGGCTGCCTTTCAAGTGCCAGATTAAACACCTTGGTGGCTGCACCCTGCTTCCATTAAAAACAGTAGGATATGCATGACACTGTCTGGCCTTCACGAAGTCAAATGGGAGGAAGAAGAATAAAAAAAAGGGGGATTAAAAAGAAATTGCTGTAGGTTACACAGCAACAGAGCCAAAAGTCAAACTCAGGAACCCTGACTACCATTGCTTACATCTGCTGTGGGGAGTTAAATGGGAACAAATGGGAAGAGGCAGTGATGTACACTAAGAAGAAAAGTGGGCGCTAGGAAATGGTGATATTATGGTGCATCAGAACAAGAGAATAGAGGAAGAGAATTAAAAGAAAAAGTGGAGAGGAAAATACCTAAAGCTGCAATTAGAAAAGAAAATAAAGACGATAGGAAGGAAAAGCCAACATAAGTAACAGGAGATATATTATTAGAGACATTTTTCAGATGTTAAATAGTTGACTGTCAAAATATCTTCAGGAAATACACAGACAGCATGTTTGCCCCAAATAGGTGTATTTACTGTGGCATTACAATGCTTTGGGTGATATGCTGTTGCTGACAGGAAGTCTTCTCTTTACTCCTCAGCCATCCTAGCCACAAGTCACATTTGCAGCTGCCTCAAAAATACTACTACAAAGCATTCATTACTGATGGCATTTGGCAAAACCTAAAACCCAGAAGTGCTCATGCCCTCAGTGTTCTGAAAAGGCAAATTATTTCAAATACGTGGTATAAAACTTGTATTCTTCATGCTGCTTTCTTCATAAATGCACTGCTGAAGTGGCTGATGCAGCATAAACCAGAAGGATGCTGTGACTGTCCCAGAACTGATCAACTCACATCCAGATGACAACCAGCATCCTGCCAGTGCAGCCCGGCACAGCCAACATGTTACTGGCTTCACAGGGCAGTGGCAGGCTCAAAACAAGAGCCTGGAATGGAGAGCAGTGATAAAAAGAATGGAATGTGGAAGACAAGAATGAACAACCTCCAGAACTCAAACATTTCAATAAGCTGAAAGACTCAATGAGGTGTTTTCCTCCACTGTTGGCTTGTTTTGCATCTGCCTGAACCAAACCCAAAGATATCCTTATTCTTAAAATAACAAAAGCACTCTGCACAAGCTTCAGGCTACCTCCCAACCAAACTCATCTTCCCAACTACCAAAACCTCTCCGCCCAGGGTTCTAAAGTCAAAAGTGCTTGAAATGATTTTATTTTCCAAAAGCAGCATTTTTCAGAATCTCACTTTTAAATTCTGACTATTGTGTAATTACTGCAAAAGGGTAAACAACAGGACCCAGGTCTCAACAGTTGCACTACTGCATCTGTAGAGGAACCAGACTGAAGCTGTGCTACTGGCAGCACTCACAAAGTCCATCTACTGAAGGGCATCAGAACAGATGGACCCACACAACAAAGGGATGAATCCACCCCCACGTTCTGCAATAGCTCAACATCAGCACTAGTCAAATCAGAAGAAAAATACACATAGAAAAGGTTGCTTTGCTTTTCAGCACTCAGTGCCAGAGTCTTTTGCATTCCGCTTCCCAGCCTCAGATTTGGAAACAGCCATCAACTCTCTCTCCACCATTTGACAAGTGCAGCCAGTTACAGGGATCTGCATCCCTGGAGGCACGCATCTCCTGAGGAGGATATCATGAGCTGCGGCCACAGATCTGCTCGATATCGTAGATCTCCTTGGGACAGTCAGCAGACAAGATGAGAGGTGAATCATCTGCTATCACAACATCATCCTCAATGCGTACACCAAGGCCACGAAACCTCTCTGGGGCACTCACATCATCTTCAGGGATATAAAGTCCTGAAAGAAGGGAAGGAATTAAAACATGCCACACTCCCTAAAAACCTTTCCCTCGCTGCACCCACCATAAGAACAGGGTAAGATTTTCAGCAGTATCAGAAGAATTTGACCTTGAAGAAGTTTAATAAGGAAAACTGCTCTCTTTCCCCTCAATCACAGCAGCTGGTAAGCAAAGAAAGGGCAGTATCTGACAGTGCCTATGGACACCAGCACGTCAATAAGAACTTCCACAATTACAGCTGGTCCTTTGGCACCTTTTGCTCTCAACTCTGTGTTCACAGTGATGATTTTAACAGTGTTCCAAATAGAAAGAGAGAAGAGCCAAGCATTAAATATCAGTTTTCATCTGACAGCTCCAAAATAAGTGACAAGAGGAAATAAATACTCACTGTGAAATGTTTTGTTTGCAAAAATAAGTTGTGAATGCTTGTAATTGCAGGCTGCAAGGCTCAAGAGGAACTTACACTATAAGCAACTGGTAGTAGTTTAGTTACAACAACACAGACCACAGCACAAATGAATTTACTCTGCTTCTCTGCACTGCAATGACCTGTAGTGCTAAGGATCAAATACCAGCAGTCTTAAGTTCTAAGTTACTCTGTCTGTTGCTGCACAGGCACTTTCTGAGTATTCATGCCCACATGTTGGTTGTATTTAAGATGGTAACACAATTTTCAAATATTCTAATATTTTTTGGGAGGGGTGTAAGATAAGGTTTTCTAGCACTTCAATATTTTCAAGTTCAACAGGAAAGGACCTGAATGCTTTGGTCAGAGGAAGCAACTAACAACTCAGAGTAGTACTGTTATCCTCAATGTTATATGATTTTGTCCACCACTGTATGTTTTTACCTGGTTCAATGGTTATCACCATGCCTGGCCGGAGTGGGACAGACCGGGATACATCTGGGGTATCGTGAACATCCATGCCCAAGTAATGGCCCACATGGTGTGGGCAGTACCTTCGAACAGCCTGACAGAAAACAAAGCAAGCGTTATGGAGGTAATTAAATGCAGCCAGTCTGTTGTTCAAATGCAGAAGATGGGAAGAAGAGAGAACATCAGTTATGTGTTGTGCTTAGTTACCCACTTGTCTCTGGGCCCTCGATTTACCAGAACTGAAGGGCCCTCAAAACCTAACCAACTGCCTATTCTGAATGCCTTTCTACTCAAGCACAAGCTTAAGCACATCTACACCTTGCACGACAGGCAAGAACTTCAGTTTTTATCTCACTGACCTTTGCTGCCCCAATCCTTCCCATCCCTTAACTATCCACACCCTGTGTTGCTCCTATCAGCAGACCCTGACAAGTGGCAGCAGCCAGCACAGCTGCTAGGTGCTATGGTGAAGCACTCACCTATGCATTAAAGAAAAGGAGCAACGCCAATTTCATTCAGCAGCTACAGCAGGATTTTAACCCATCTCTACTGCGCGCTGTTAGCACCCCCCCTCGCACCATCCTAATCCCCTCCCTCTAGAGAGGAGCAGGAATCAAAGAGCTAATTCCTCCTCTGTCCCCTAGCTCCTCATATTCACTAGGGACTGAGCTGCAGTCCTTACTCTCATCTGGCTGTGCTGCCACCTGCCGAGAGAAATTGGCATGATCGCCTCCATTCGGAGGGGAGAACTTGTGCTGTTACCGTACTGACACTTGTAGGACAATTAAATCTGGCAGAAGTCTGTACTGCTGCCCAAGGGATAGTTCTGCCACCTGGTCCCTGCCATCTTTCTGGTACTGGCATCAGCAATCGTGCAGATTTGCTGTGAGTGGGACCAGAAAACTTTTCTAATGGCAAAACAATCCTATTTTACCTGCAGGTTTAGCTCCAAGGCAGCCCAGTTCCCCACTGTGTTCTCCAGATAATTCTGTGAATCCCAGCAGTGACACCCAGAGAGGTGCAGAAGAGGCAGCAGGTGGAAACAGAGAAATTGGGCTGCGCTTTTTGGTGGCACTGCAGATTAATGTTACTTTAAACAAATCTCAAAACTCTAATTGCCTGCAGTCGACCATGCACGCATGTGTCTGTGTCAGTGCCAATGTTTCCCTAGGTTTGTTTGGATTATTTGTACTTTAAAGCTACATCAACATTAATAAGCAGTGCAGACCAGTGGGAATGGATTTGCAGAGGAAAAAAGCAAGTGCCAGAGGGACAGCGTCCTCACTGCGCATGTGTAAGGGCTGGATTTCAGACCAAACTGTGGGCTGAACGCCCTTTAGGGGTTGAAACAGATCTTCAAGTTTAGCCTCACCTGAAAGAAATCCAGTCCAGCACTGAGACCAGCCCACAACACAAACTAAAGCACATTAAGTAGGGATAATTAAAAGATTTGCTTCAAAAGCGTATTTCTGATCTAAACTAAAGCCACTAACATAACCTACAGATGCAACAATCACAGTGGGGAGAAGCTGGATTAAAATAATCTTTGTGTACCTTAAAGAAGTGGCTGTCAGTGATGCTGCCCTTTAGGATCCCCAAGTCTTTCAGCTTCTGTCCAATAAGGCTCAGCATGAGGCTGTAGATATTTTCTAGACTCACACCTGGGGAGCAGAGGCTCAGGCAGGACTTCTGGATGTCCAAGACAGCCTGGTACAATTCTGCTTGAGGTTTGGTGAACCTGCAAATCATTGAGAAAAGGAACAAAGCACATTTCTCCCAATGAAGTCTTCCACCCAGAAGCTGTTTTAGAGACAAATTCAGTTTAGTGCTGAAGCAAGGGAAGTCAGAAAGGAAAGCAACTGTCTCCTTATGGGAAATGCCAGGCAAGGTATCGCCAAAACATGCCCTTCAACACACTGGGTAGAGGCAGGGATTCTACTTGACTTCCTTATCCCAAGGCAAGCCAAGGCAACACTACTGCTGGAGACAGGACACACTTGAGCCCAACATGCAAGAATCAAACACACAACCACAGGGACACTGCACCAGCCGTGTACTGCTCAGCTAAACTCCTGTTCTATTACTCTGCATAAGGAACAGCTGAATGCACAAAAGCCAACTCTTCTCCTTAAAAATACCAGGATACCTGAAAACAGCAGTAATTAATGAGGCAGAGGGAAATACAGCTTCTCACATTGAAAGATTTACGTAATTTCATTACCCCAAAGAACTACAGAATGGGACGTATTTGAGCTACTGTCACAGATTACACACATACACTCAGACTGTGCATTATTTAAGAGCTTCTCACACTCCTTCAAAACAGCCCTGTCATGACATACCTTCCATTGATGGGCCAGGTTCGTGTGATGTCGCTTACGTAGCAGGAGAACTCACACCCACCATCTAGCAAGACCATTTCACCATCCTGAGAATAACAGGAAAAAATGCCTGTGTGGATCAGTGGGCACTGAGTGAACTGATGCCTCAGAGAGGAGGAAAGGAGACAATGCAGTGATTTTTGCAAAGCAGCTGCAGAGCTGTGAACTCCTTTTGCAGAACAACACACCAGCTGCTATTACTTATAAATAGGCTACTGCAGTTGGATTGCTTCTCTGCAAGACTCTCTCCCTATTAGACTTATCTATAGTCTGAGCCCTAATACACTGATGTCAAACACTTTGGAGTAAAAAAGACATTTTCCTTGAACTATTTTGTGCTCCGAGATATCAGCCCCATTGACACTGGAACTCCTATTCCAGCAAATTACACAGCTGACTCCTTTCACCACCAGTTCTCTGCTTGTGACTGAGACAGAAAGGTTCTGGAAGGGGAAAAAAAAAAAAAAAAAGGTTTCTGAGCTACCCACAAAATCATTAACGAGTAAAAATATTAGCCTTGTCACAAGAACCAGCAAAATACTTCTCTGATAGTATGTTGCTACTGTAAAATTGCTGTTTACTAATTTGTACCATCTTTCTTCTTCTCTTTTGGGGCTTTCTTGCCTGCTCTAAGATATACTTCTCAATTTATCTGGTGATGAAAAACAGACTTCTGGAGATACAAGTCTCCAAATCAATTCAGCAAAACTGTCCCAAGTCAATCAAATTGCTGACTGCACATCTTCCAAGAAAAGCAATGCCAAAAAGACCAAGGTCCAAGAACAAACCCACTGCCTTACTTTTCCTCCTTAAAGGCATGAGAAACAACTAAGAGCGATCAGATCTGTGAAAACTTTGAATTTAATTATCTGTGGATTTACCTTCCTTCTATGATTACTTTGTATAGACTTTTATAGAGATTTATTCTACAGGTCAGTGCCAGCAGCCTTGATGTGGCGTGACAAAGAATAATTCCAGCATATTAATGGAAAAAAGAATAATGCTAACACTGCTTCCATTGCTAGCTACTGTCAATGTGTTTCACACACACTGTACAAAAACTAGAAGCGAGATGGTCTCACTACTACTTTCCATTTAAACTCTATTTAAAACTTTTTCTAAACAGCTGGTTCAATTATTTAAGTAAAATATGAAATTACAGTACCTGTCCTAAGTAAGATTCTAACAGCTAAGGAAATTCAGCCTGTGGTCTGACTGTTTGCTGCCTCATTACATCAAGTATTGTGTCCTCTTTCTTTAAAGCTGAGTCCACTAAGTGATGGACTCAAGTCCACATCTGGCCATACGCAGCCTTTGGATACCTTCTAACTTAGATACCTTGTCAGCCTATTTGGCAACAAGACATGTAAGAGGCAGCTCATAAAGGAAAAATCAAGTTTGTGTGTTTAACCTCCTACTTGCTAGTTTAGAAAAAACACAAGTGACAGTTGCTTAACAGATCAACTTTAACAGAAGCAACTGAAGTTACACGTGCATGCCTGACCTTGGACGACAGAACAACAAAAGAGGTTTATTTCTGCCAAAAACAGTCTGTCATATCTTTTGTACATGTGTCTCTTCAGATCATTTCAAGGTCTGCTTGCATGCCAGCTTCAAGAAAAAAAACAGTGCTGGCAAGAAAAGTTTCATCCTGCATTAACGTGAAACATAAATATGCTCCACTGAAAATACTGAATAGAGCAATGGGGTAAGCATTCTGATTCTCAGAATACTTACCTGAATCTAAAGGTGTTTTATCAGGAAAGCTGGAGAGGGTTCAAATCAATGCTATGAATAATCAAAATATATTCATTAATACATTAATTTACCTACAACTATTTAATTTGTCCCTCAGTGTTTAATGCTAGACCTTTCTTGTTCCCCTTCCCTGCTTTATTGGCCTACATGGTGTCCGAAATGCATTTCAGCCTAACCAGAGAAGGAATGCACTGCTGCACCTTTGCTTGCAAGGCAAGGTCAAGAAACGCAAGTGACAACAGAAGGATTCCAGAGTGCTTTTACTCTGTCTGCTACAGCTGTCCTCTCATCTGTGAGGGCAGCAATTCACCCAGTACTGCACCACTGAAACATGGTGTGCAGCTGGCACCCTTGCTAAATAAAATATTTACAAGCTTGTTTCCAAGTCCCTCCACCTTACAGAAAATACAACAGCAAATACGCAGAGGAGAGAAAGAGACCAGCAGGAATGAAGTTAATCTATCCCTGGCAGTAAAGCTTACCAGGAAAGAATCCTTTTCCCCTGCTAAGTTGAAAACATTGAAGTGTTTTGATCTGTTCAGCCAAAACAGATCAGCAAGGGGATGCACATGGGGACAGCGTGTCACATAAATACATTTCAAGTAACTGGACGGCGTATGGTTTACCTTAATGAGCTGATTGTTCTTCACATAGTGCAAAGTGTTTGATCTATTGCCACCAGCAACAACAGGGGGGTAGGCCAAGATGTCAGCACCACGAGCTCGGCACTCAAATTCAAACTGAAAGACCAATTCAAAGAGGAGGAGGTTGTTAGTGCTGATCCTGGTGATTAACTGCCCTGAAGCAATCATGATTCATGTCCTGCAAGTCTTTTTTTTAATTTGTACAACACAAAGTGAAACTGTGAAGTGACTTCATCACGTGGAAGCAGCCTAGAAAGTTTCCCAGAGCATTGGAGGAAATACCACAGAACTATCCATTCTTCAAGAGAGCATTTTAAACCTACACACAATCTCATGGAAGCTCTCCCTGGTACAGGCATACTGTCTCAGAAATTCATTATGTTATCATAAATCCAGGTGAGAATTTGACCCTACATAAAGTTTCACTGTTAGCTGCTGTACAGGTTTGCAAATTATCCATGAAGACAACAGCTGTGTTTTGATGTTTAGTGCATTTAGAGCAGTAATGAATAAAAAGGTTATAAAGCATGCAAAAAATAGATTTTAATTCAAGAGCTTTACCTTTCTTCAGAGATAAGCAGATGAAATGAATAAACTTGTCTATAAAGCCCCTCTATATCCTCAGTATACTACTAGCTTGTCTTTTCTGTAATTAGCAAAACCCCATAGGACAGAATACTCCAGAATGCCTACACGTAATGAAGAAGGTTTTATGATCCTGATGTGCAGTGGGAAACTGAGCTGTAAAATACACTAAAGTTAAAATGATTTTCTTTACAAGTTGGACGTGTGTCTCAGTGCCAACTCCGCACAGGCCCATCTGTGTCAGAATGGAGGGTCAAATCCTGCTGACGTAACTCAAACATGCATCTCACTGCATTTCCTTACAAAATTCCTTGCCAAATGTGCAGGCAGGTGTCTACACTGCTCCAAGACAACTGTGTTAAGCTGATGTAATGAGAGGCTAGAGTCAAGAGAAGCAGGCTTTACAAAATGCTCTTACACGTACTGCCATTTTGTACAGTAGAATTGTTTTACAGATGTATAACCAAGATGTTATAATTGCAATATAATCAAAAGAGTAAGGCAAAAGCAAACAAGGATCGCAAAAGAGAATAAGTAGAAGAGCTTACCCTTGGGTTGAGCTCACTAGAAGATACCAAAAGAGGAGGATCTCCAGAAGAGATCCTTCCCCTCTGGTAGCCAGCTCTTAAATAGGTCCAGGAGGGGTGGAGCCTGGCTCCACCCCTTCCGGCAGCACAGGTGAATTGCCTTCACCTGTGCTCCTCTGGCTGACTCAAGGCTCACCTCAGGTGATCAATCAGAGGTTCAGGCCGTGACTCAGCAGTTCCCATACAACAGAATACAATGAGAACTGTGTCTCCAGTTTTGGTTAGCTGGTTTTGTGGGTATGGTAGAAAAGGACATCAATAGCAGATAAATTTAGACCTTCAGTAAAGGTGGGGAGAACACTGCTAAAGAATTCCTTGCGCTTTGTTGCAAAAGCTGCAGAAGTTCCTCAAAAGCAGACACTACACTGCTAACAAGTTACACATGAATTAGATACACCCTTCTTCAGATGTGAAAGGTGAAATTCTTCTGCATACAAAAGTGAGAGATTTCACTGAAGTGGTCTCCCAGTCATCCCAAACAGCCTCCCAGCTAGGAAGAGCTCCTTCAGTAAATGAAAATTTGCCTTTTTCCTGTTTTTCCACAAAACTCCAGGTGTTTGTTTTTTTTTTCTCCCTCATTGCCTTGGTGATAGTTTGTAAAAAGGATAGTAGAAAACAAACTGCATTTGATTTACACAGGTAACAAAATCACACACCTTAAAGGAAGTAATTTCTTGAAACTCACAGCCCTGTATTAAGCAAAAAGCAGATAACTAAAACATAACAGTAGCTTATTTCCTTTCTCAATTACCATATCTGCTGCACAATCTATCATCAACAGAGAATTATCTTTACTGCAGATATAATCTCTCTGCACATTCAGTGAGGAAGAGCCAAATGTCCAAATGTCAGAATTCTCACTTATTGTGGATGGAAATGGTAAAAAAAAATTCCTCAACTGAAAGCTTATGTTCAAACTCAGGATTTTTCATTTACTGGGCTAGGATCTATGCATACTGGTAGCTCTGGAGACATAGGGCACGCTTTGGACTCTTGTCCACGAGACAAACTTACTCAAACACAGATGTAGTCAACCCTCTCTTTTACAACTTTTCTGGAATTAGCTGTTATATTTTGTCTCACCCTTTATCTCTTATTTTCTTTAGGCCTCCTCACTCATGGCTTTCCTTTGCTTTTTCTCCCACACAGAAACTTCCCTCACACAAACTGCACTCCTTTAACCAAATCTTCATGTAGTAGCTTCCCCCCATCACTGATGGGATTACTTTGTGTCTTGCCCCAACACTGAAGGTGCTCTGAAGAATCAGAGCAGCATCTTCAAAGAGGGATTAGAGAAGAAGCTTACTTTCCAGTTCACTTTACCCACCCCCCACTTTTTTTTTTTTTAAATGCCTTTAAATTCATAATAATCATTTGTGGAGCTTTGACTCCATCTTCATTGACTTTTGGAAATAAAGACAACAAACAAAAGACCTCCAGGAAGAATATTTTGTCCTCAGCATAAGAGCACTGAACTTTGGAGCCCATCCATATGTGAGAGAACAGTTCTAGTATGGCTACCAGGTACAAGATATACATCTGTAGGGAAGGGAAAACATTTTTGCTATTACAAGCTCCAAATTTGGATTCTGTTGACATCTCCAAGCACAGTCCAAAACAATCTGCTGCAACAGTGCAACTTTTCTTAAATCAAAAGAGTTGTTCAAACAAGGCTACAGTTCTTGACTGAGGGGAGTTTGGGGTATGCCCAAGGCACCATGAGAGTTGGGTGAAAGAGAAATATGTATTTCTTTTTCATTATAGAGAGATTTGACATTCCTAGTTTCCTGGAAGAGTAAGAAACATTTAGCCCTTCCATCCCACCCCCAACAATGACACACTCACCTTTGCATACAGAAAGGCTTCGTCCACTGGAGATTTTCTGGCAAACATTGTCTCTATGAAAGCCTACAAAAATTAACAAACAAACAAAAGGACCTTTCAGTTAGTAAAGGACCTGCTGTTACCTGCTGTCTTTTGGGTAATACCTAAAAATCAGCTGTTTCCTTGAAAATAATGGAATAAATGGAGAAGAAAATAGCACGGGGAAGGAGAGGAGAAGTTGAGGAGAAGGTACAAGGGGCACCGCTGTTCCTGAATAAACACAACTTTAAAACAGAGTCTAACACCTGCTGGCTCGTTCTGGCTGACGTTACGTTAATTGAGAGAAGAGACATTAATTGAGCTGTCTTCTTGGGTCTCCTTGTGCGGAGGGTGCTGAGCCAATAGCAGAGAAACAGCAGTTCAGTAACTAAGATCAGGTCTTATCCTTCCAACCTAACTCATGCTGTAACACCCTCTCTGCTTTCTTGTGTAAAGGAATACAATGGTTCTTTCTGAGAGTACACAGCTGCGTACCTCTGATGTCACTCGTCCAGCTATTTTCATCCTTTCAATCTCTGCAGGAGATTTGATCAGCCGAAGGTTTTGCACTAGATGCCGGATGCCTTGGATGTGATTTTTGCTCCGAGCTTTTATTTCAGCCAGGGGCTGCATATAGTCAGCGTGCAGTTCTTTATGCACTGGTTTAGTCACATCATACCACACCTTGTTTGACTCACCTGGAATACAAAACAAGTGTTGATGCAGACGAAGATAAATTCAGAAATTCTCTCCTCATATGTACAAAATCACCTCTCCTAAGCTAGACCCGTAGCTGCCCTGGTAATTTTCTCTGAATCTGTATTTACAGATCATACGTTTACTGTCAGATAAAACCAGATACATAGTCAATGAATACAAATATGTTATAATTTTGACATAAACAAGAAAGTTTGGCAGAGCGAGTTACAATAACAAAAAGAGCATAGACAGAAAGCTTACCCACATCCTAGGCTTGCTGCAGAACTCCAGAGGAGGGATCTCCAGAAGAGATCCTTCCCTACTGGTAGCCAGCTCTTAAATGGGTCTAGGAGAGGTGGAGCCTGGCTCCATCCCTTCCGGCAGCACAGGTGAATTGCCTTCACCTGTGCTCCAATGGCTGACTCATGGCTCGCCTCAGGTGATCAATCAGAGGTTCAGGCCGTGACTCAGCAGTTCCCATACACCAGAGATCCCTTTAAAATCCAGAAAATTAGCAATGCATAACACGTAGATTTGACAAATCCCCATTTGTATGCAAATATTGGGTTTTCTGCTATCACTGATCTTGCACAGATAAATGTAGCTCGCGTATCAAAGTTGTGGTGGTGTAGGCAACCAAGTCACTGCACTGCAGTGGGACATGTTTTGAATCCTTCTCTCATTTATCCTCTCAGTTATCCACTGCATGGAATCAGGGTCATTACTGACCACATTTCAGTATATCTTTGGTGAGCAACTGCTTATTTCAGCCATTTACAGGAGATGAACTTCCTGATGGCAAGGATATTTACCTATGTGAAAATTTATTTATCAATCAAAGATGTCAGTCTAAGTAAAATTTTCTGTGAATAGGCCAAACACAGAATAATAGGCAGGAGCAGCAGAACTGCCTCTTACTTGTACAGACCACCTCTTAGTTTACAAGTCACTCAGATCAGTAACTGAGGTCATGTGGGACAGAAGGTGGGAGTTCATGCTGGCTAGCTTTAGATGCCTAATTTAAGATCCTGCATCTTTTTTACAGTCACCCAAGAGGGATATATTACTTCTAACGAGAGTATCTTAAAGCACTTACATGAGACCTCCTCGCTTCCATCACCAATACAGGCTCACAGATTAGGTATTTAAGGGAGGAGCCTACACCTACTTAGCACAGTTTCTTCCCAGAACTATTCAGATGTACTTTTCAGACCCTACAACCCACGCCTCATCTCATCCCCCCTTCATTTTTGTTACCTTTCAGCTTGGCCACCAAGTGCCCGAACTCCTCAATAGTGTAAGCTTCATCTACTCCTGTCAGAGCGATGGCCCCATCTGTGCCTGACCTGGGCCCATCCCACAGCTCTCGGCTCGGATCTCTCCGGGGCACAAAAAGCATGGCCTTGTGAGAGGGCAGCGCTTTGCCAGGAAGGCTCTGCAGCACCAGGATGCTGTCAGGTTCCTGGAACCCACAGAGATACAGGAAGTTCGTGTCCTGGTGGAAAACGTAGGGGATGTCATTGCTCATGTAGTACATGGGGTTGGACAGCAGAATCACTGTGTGGTCCAATCCTTCCCAACCTTGGGCTTCCTTCTGGATCAGTGTCATCAGTTTGTGCCGGCGAAGAGAATATTCCACCTGTGACAAGCCTGGGGTTACCTCCCCTATAACAAAAAAAAAATACAAATCAGAACAAAAATTCAAGTTCCTTGTGATATTTTACTAATCACATGCCTGATTTCTGCTTGCTTCCTGAGGCCTTTTGTATGCATGGCTTCACTGCAGTCCCTGCTAGCCTTTCCATTGCTCTCTCCTACATCTTCTCAGCACTCACCCCTGTAGCACATCCTAGCTTACTCTGCTCCTCCACTGTGCAAAAGGGAGGAATTTGTTTTAAACACTTAAGATTTTCTTGATATACATTTCTGTGCAAAGGCAGAAATCACAGAACCTGGCAGATCCAGACAATTAGCCAAAGCATTCCGTGAAAAGCAGTTTGGTAGGAGTGATTTTCAGAAAGATAAGGAAAAAAGAAGGCAAGACAAACTGAACTTTGCTGAAAACAGATGGGATTTTTATAGCATTTGGACATTGAACCAAAGATTACCTTCTTACCCTGAGCACTGATTTCCTCAGACAAAGCTGGAATGTGTTCAAATACACACTAAGTCAACTCATAAAGTAACTAGTCCTAAAGCCTAAGGGGCAGACTGAGAGTTAGATACAGGGAGAGGAGTCAGAAACACAGAGGTTCTCCCTACAGGTTTCCAAGCAGAAGGAAATCACGACCCATAGGCTGGCATCATTCTGATTAAGAGAAGGAATCTTTTCTGAGGAAGATGTAGCTGCTCTCAATAATTAAAGACCTGGATTTTTCTGAAGCTAAATATTATATTCCAGATGACTCTAAACAAATGTTTCCTTTGATGAAAGTCTGTTTCACAGTGTACCAGTCACAAAGGACAAGAAGGGAAGCAACCAAGAGATCACCAAAAGCGGACTGAAGTCAAAAGAACCACCAACAGCTGTCTAAGTATATATTTTTAAGAACTGAGATTTCTTAACTGTGCTATAGACTAAGACATGAAACTTGTCAGTGCTTTGGCTAGTATCCTATTTTAACATAGGATTTAACATAGATTGCATTTTCATACTGCTAAATTATAATTTCATACACTCCTTAAGGTATTGGCAATTATAGGAAAGAAAATCAAAATTTGACTTTTACTGTAAATGGATTCTTGCATGAGTAGGACAAAAGGGGGAGGCTCTCTGCAGCATGTTTGTCTCTGACCAAAAGAAAGAAAAAGTGACACTTTCCATTTGCTTTCCATTAGACTTTACAGCTCGGTACTTGGGATAGAAATTTTCTTACTTTGTTTTATCTATAGATATAGAATGACACAGAATACAGAAACTGTTCCAGTGCAATCTGACCCCACGTTTCTGCAATATTATACTGCATATTTCCTATGCTCCACTGTGTTCCTGTCAGCTAACTACTGCAAATTGCAAACAGTCCAGTAAACTGCAATAGAGTGGAACCTGGGAACCTCAGTTGCCTTCCAACCGTGAGGCCCGGAGTCTTTTTACTTTAGGCATTTTCTTTTCAAATTAATAACTGCAGCACAGTAATGTCATCTTATTTCTGTAGAAAGGCTGAGAGTCCTGGGACTGTTCGGCCTTGAGAAGACTGAGAGGGGATCTTATCAATGGGTGGGAGTCAAATTGATGGGGCCAGGCTCTTTCCAGTGTTGTGAATAGAACAAGGGGCAGTGGGCACAAATTAGAACACTGGAAGCTCCATACAAACATGAGGAAGAAATTCTTTACAATGAGGGTGACAAAACACTGGAACAAAATGCCCAGACTGTGGAGTCTCCTCTGGAGATATTCAAAACCCTCTTGTACTCTTTCCTGTGCAACTTACTCTAGGGAACCCACTTTAGCAGGAGAGTTGGATTTGATATCTCCAGAGGTCCCTTCCAGCTCCTAAGATCTGTGTTCCATGAAAGTAATTCCTCCTATTTTATTGCGTTGCTCCATGACGCCAGAGGTGAATGGTGGTAGTACAGCAGTAGATGTTGAACCTTCTCACCAATATTCTGTTACATTTTGTTGCTGTGCTACAGTGGGCAGCAAAGGGACATGCTGACAAAATGGTGTCTGCTATGGAAGAGCGCATGAAGCAAAGGTGTGTTATTGAATTCGTCCATGTGAAAAAATGGCACACGCTGACATTCATTGATGCTTGTTGAACGTTGAACAAAGTGTTGATGTGAGCACAGTGAGGTGGAGGTGGGTGGTGGGTGGTGCATTTCAGCAATGGTGACAGTGACATGCAAGACAGGCCATGTTACAGAAGGCCATGCGGATTTTTACAAGCACAGCATGCGGGCTCTTGTTCATTGCTGGTGAAATTGCACCACTAATGGTAGCGACTATGTTGAGAAATAGTGTTTAATTGAGAGAATTTGCTCTATCAAATAGCGTTATTGTGCCCTTTGTATCTGTTGCAGTTTCTAGGGAAATAAATAGGAGGCATTTCTTTCATAGTACTTTAGGCTTGACCTACATGTTAATTTAAGCTAATCATAAACAAATGAAATCAACAGACACACGTACAACGCAACAGAACAATATTCTGTCCTAAGCACCACAGAAAAGCAGAGAAAAGAAAGAACACCAGTGACTGAATCATGCTGAGCATGAACCTAACCTGGTTTAAGTAGGTGTGGGTGTGTAAAGGGGCTGGGCTGGCCCAAATATCGGTTTGGAATCTTCTTCTGCTGGGCTGGCTGGATGGAGAATCTCCGGAGAACACATGACTTGCAAACTACAGGAAAAGAAATGGACCATGTCAAAGGAAAAGAACTTTCCAATCAGAAAACTTTAGAATTATAATCAACTGACCTTACTCCTAGTAGCATTTACTTACCTTGTATCACAAAAATATCCCTATTACACTTTCCAATATGTTACATAGTCAGACTGAAAACAGTTTCTCAGAAGTATGGCTGCGTATCGCACTTCCAAACCCACATTGAGCCAAGTAGGCAATTTTTAAAAGGAATTACATTTGTGTATTGCACTTGGGAGCTATGGGAGTGCACAGTAAGACAAAAGCTAAAATTAAACACAGTTGTAACAACTTCACCAACTTTGGATTTCTGTCACAGCTGATGGAGATGGCAATGAGCCTAATGGCTGATGTTCAGAGAATTGTTTGCCTTTTATTTTGCCTGCCACACTAGTTTGTGCTACCGTGCCACAGTACCAGGTTCTGAGAACAGACAAAACCAACTCTTCATGAGCATAAGCAGCTCTGAAGCTGCCTCGCACAGCAACACGACTCAACTGAGAGCTGCTGAGGGAGCAGCGTGACACCGCTGACTGGGGTTACTTACACAGCATGACCGATAATCACAGCTTGAAGCACTCGCTGTGCGATGACTGACTGGAATAACAGCCCAGAGATCCAGGCCAGGAAGTATAGTTACAGACCGAACCGCAAAAAATGGAAGTTTTTCCAGCATCTCTACCTACAGAGAGAACTACCAAGTATCTCGCCACAGGACAACACAACAGGCGTTAAATAAAGCAATACTATAAAGGCATTAGGAAGCTTTCCAAATCGTCGTTTTATTTCCCGAACAGCGGTAGCTTCGGCTCCAACCGCGCCTGTGACCTCATACCCCTCCCACCCACCGCAGCGCCCAGCAATAACGTCCGGCAGCGCGGCAGCCCCGGAGTTGGCAGGGCCCAGAGGCACCGAATCACTGCGGAGGATTCTCTGACCTGCGACGCCGCGCCAGCCCCTCACCGCCGCCAGCAGGCGCGACATGGCCGGGGGGGGGGGCCTTCCCCCAGTGCGGCGCCGCGCCGTGACCGCATCAGAGAGCGCCGCGCCACCATCTTAGGCGCCCGCCGAGGCCGCCTGCGCGGGGCCTGAGGGGCGCAGCCGGCAGCCGTAAGGTTGAGCCGGCGAAAAAGGCGGGACGGCGCGCTGAAACGGTGCGCGACCCCTCACAGCCCACCTAACGGCCACCCCCGCTTCTAGAAAGTTCCGGCCGCCGCGCGGCGGAGGGGCGTGGCTTTGGGGGCGGTGGGCGTGGCTTTGGGGGCGGTGGGCGTGGCCAGCGATCGGGCTGGGAGCTTCCGCGGCGCCGCGCGGCGGTTGGGTAGGGGAACGGTTGGGTGCTTGGAGCCGTCGTTCTCTGCTCCGCCACCATGGACTCGCGTAAGCTGAGCGAGCTGCGGGCCTTCGTCAGGCTGTGTAAGCAGAACCCGGGCCTGCTGCACACCGAGGAGCTGGGCTTCCTGCGCGAGTGGGTGGAGAGGTCGGTCATGGGCGACCGTGGGGAGCGGGGCTGGGGAGGGGGGGGGGGCGGCGCCCCGCGGCGGCGCGGGGCCCCGCCGCGTGGCTGAGGAGGGGGGCGGAGGGGGCGCGTTGCAGTGGTCGCGGGTTCGAATCCCGCCGTGGGGGGCGTAGAGGCACCGACCCCTGCATGCCTGAAACTGCAGTCCGCTCTCCTCACGGCGGTGCCTCAGCGCAGGGCCGCCCTGGGGCTTTCTCAGATCTGGGCGGGAACCTGGCTGTGCGTGCGTGTGTGTGTGTGCGCGCGAACCCAAACAGTGCTACTGCACGGCGTTCCACGCTGCTCCAATGAATTATTTATTTCGGTTCCTGTGCAGTGATGCTTGAACTTTTTGATGCGTCTTGTGCGGTTGTGGGAATATTCCTACTTCACTCTGCTTGTCTGTGCGGTGCCCGCAGCACGCGTGCATAGGAAGGAAAGGCGCAGAGTGCTTGAACCTGCTGCGGGCCCTCGGTCCCATTGCTAACGTGTGGAACCTCGCCGTGGGTTACATCCATCCCTCGGTTGTGCAATTCTGAGTGTTTTGGGGCGGGGGAAGAGAACGCTGCTGCCTTTGGCCAAAAGAAGCGTTAGGGAATGGAGAAACAATCTCTGATTTGTCATTTTTTCCATGCAATGCAGAGAGCTCTACTGTCCAAAATTTGTTTTCATAGAGGCTCTTTCTGGTTTTGCTCATGTATTTGAGCTAAATATTTGATGAAGTTGTACGCTTGGGAATGTGGGACGGTGGTCACAAAATTACATTTCACGTGGCGCTCTGGCAGTTTGGTGAGCTGCCCTCCCTTCAATTACAGGCTCTTGTAGGGTCTCCCCTTTCTCTGCAAATGGCCTGAAGCTCATCACAGCCTGGCTTCAGGTGGGAGCAAACCCGATGAGTCTTCTGTCTGTCAGTTTATCTGTGGTAACCTATAATTATATAGGTTAGTCACCAAGGTGATGTTGCAAGTGGTTACAGAATGACAATTAAATACTAATAAAATTCTGATTTGTTTTTGTTTTTCTTAGACTCCGTAGTTTGTGAAATAGCACATATGAAACTGTGTGTGATCTGTATATGTTAAGTGCATCTCGTAAGAGTTCAGAGCTTGGCTGGGGCCTCTTTTGGGGTATGAGGAAGGTAGAGGAGACTGACTGAGTGCTTTTGGTCTTGAACAAGGTGCCAGACTAAAATGAGCTGATCTTGAGCCCTGTAATTTGGAATTGTTCCAGAACCCAAATCTTTTAGCTCAAGCTGTTCTTAAATATATGACTGAAAGGTGGGAAGGTTATTGACCTACTTGAATTGGAAGCTTCGGTCTTTGTCTAGTAGGTATAGCCAGTAAACCAGGCTTTGAAGAAGTCTTACTGGGTTTTTTGTTGTTGTTTTAGTTGGGTCCGTTAGATGGATTTATGTTATTTGTGAGTGTTGTTTCTGAAGTTGTAGTTTCTTACAGATGTGCAGCCAAGGGTCACCCAGACGATCCCCATGATGGACAGTTCTTGAACTGCTTTCTAAGAAAGGGTTATAGAATTGTATGCCTTACAATTGGCCTGCAATGGTTAAATAAAAGAAAAAAATAGGAGGAACAGTTACTACACGTAGTGTAATTTTTGCCTAGCTCTCCAGTGATTTATCAGATTGCAGTTGTGCAGTTCTTGGAATATGATATAGATTAAGCAAGGGCAATACACCGGAGGTGCATGTACATTTTTGTTATAGCTTCCCAAGATGCTGTTTGTTTGTTTGTAACTTGTGACTTCTTTCTTTTTCTTGAGATCAGTCCTGATGTATGACCTGTCCATCCTGCCATTTACCTTTCTCTTGCTCTTTCTCCACAGGCTGTGTCCCATCTGGGGTTTTCAGCCCTTTGGGGCTTGACTGTGAGCTGATGCCATAGGGGGGGGAGGGGAAGGCCTGACTTAAGAAGCTGTAGGATCTCAGTGCTAGGATGTAATCTAGTTGTGCTGATTCCTCAAAGCAAAGTCCTGTGCCCTTCTGGGTCCTCCTGCATGTGTGCCCACTTCATTAGCCACTGTGTCAAACCAGTTGTGTGGTTCCTCGTTGAGCTGGTTGAACCCATTGAGATGCTGGACAAAAATGTAGTTGTTTTTTTCCTTTTGGAATATCCATAGCCAAAGCAATCAAGAACTGTCCAAAGAAGAATGTAGAGCAGAGTGGATGGGTGGAAAAGTAGTCCTAGGAGCAGATTGCCAGTAGATATGATTAGATGTTATATGAAACAGCTGGAGAATTCCACCTGTGCTTATTTCTGACTGCTAAACCAAGTCAATGTAATATAGAAGCTTATTCTATATTGAGGGAATACTGTCTATACAAAGAATGCTATTTAATGGGTAGTGGGAGAAAGTCACAGATATTGAAATGCATAAAAGAAATGAAATGGTTTTCTTGGCAGCATTTCTTAAAAATTATATAAGCATTTTAGATGAGAAAAATATCATGGTAATAGATATTTTTTAGTTCTCTTAAATGTTTTGGTCTGTTTCAAAACTAATTATAATTTTAATGGGAACTATAATAAGAATACCTTGTCATGAATTGAAAAAAAAATAAACTTGCATTTTCAGGGGAAAAAAAGGGTGTTTCAGCCAAAAGGCAGCTTTCCTTTGTGAGAAAAGGTGGTGTGTGATACACATGAGTACAGATTACGGTGGAGACCCAATGTTCATTGCACTGCGCTAGGGAAAATACGGTTCATGTGTACTTTTTAATTGCTTTTACAGTGAATTGCACTGTTGTATTTTTTGTCATAACAGAAGGCTGAGATTATCAGCAGGACTCGAGTCAATAAAATACTTGGCATTGTTTTGTTAATCTTATTGTCTTTTCTCTTCCCTAATTTGCTGAAAAGCATGGGAGGCACAATACCACCTGCTCCAGCCAGTACTTCCACAGATGAGACAAGTAAGGTGAGATGTGAAGAGTTTGTACAAGATAATGTTTGGACACTGCAAAAAATGATTGGGCAGGAAGAGAGAAGCAAAAATTGCTGCTAAGTTTTACCCAGACAGTGTGGGTGAATGCACGGGTGAATAATTTTGGGAGGTAAGACTGAAGTCTGCTCCACTGCATCGTGTGGGTGACGGTTTGTTACGGATGGCTTTCTAGTTTGTTTCAGTTGTTATCATGCTCCATTTCCTTAATCGTGAATGCCTGATGTTCTCAACAGTGCAAATGGCATACAAAGTCTTGATTGCTCCTTTTTATGCAGTCATTACCAGTTTATAAACCTCTTATGTAGCCATTGCTGGCTCAAATTATAACTTCACATGACAAGAAGTACTTGCAAGCATGATAGGTGGTAAAGAGTTGAACTGTCAATTTTTGAAGACAGTATTGTGGAAAAGGTTATTTTTTTCAGGAGAGATAATAAATTTGGCTTTTAGATATTCATAGGAGAATTGCCTTGAGTTTGAAATTATTTTTGGGAAAAGGAGAATGCTTATTTTGGGATTAGCAGGACAGTGGGTACTGGAGTTACTGGTTGATAAGAACTGAACTCTGTTGGGGGTTGTTTATGTGTAGTGAGTATAGTCTGTGGCCCTGAAAGTACAAACACAGCTTCTGCCTGTCATAAAGGAGGATGTGCTGTGTGGTGGGATGCAGAAGAACGTACTCAAATAGTTGGAAGCTGATAGGAAAATGTTTGAAAGAATATTGTGTGTGTAAATAGCAAGTATCTCTTGACAAATAAGAAAACAAATTTTAATCATTGATGCTAGCTTATTGTTCCCTATAGAGGTCCTTAGCTTAGAAGTATTAGGTTGAGAGAATTTTTCATCCAGATGATGCATCTGGAAGATTGCAAGGGCTAGTTAGTATTCATTGCAAGACTGAATTGGGTATTATCTGAATCATTTTGTTTTGATTATTGAATTATACAGTCTGAAAGACTGGCTTTACCAATAATAGAAGTTCCTGAGTCAAGATCTGGGCTTTGAATTATTTGCATGCATGACAGACTTAATCTCAGAAGAGGAAAAAAGGAGATCTGTATCTGGAAAATAACTGTTTAGCCTTAGAGCAGTCGTATTCTGTGAAGATTGGTTCTGGATTTTTCAATGCCCTGCTATTTATTAGAGTAGAATCTCAGTCAGAAATACACACTTAAAATGCATTTCTTTTTCAGGGTAAAGCAGAAGAACAGCCAGAAGAACCAGTTAAATCCCCTGAGCCAGAAAGTGAAGAGAGTGACTTAGGTGTGGAAGACAGTTGTCGTTATCATGGTTAGAACATGATTCTGGAAGTCTCTGTAAATGTGGTCTAAATTTGCTGTTTATTTTTCCCCCAGAAATTGACAATGAGGGAGTGATTGAACCTGATAATGATGACCCTCAAGAAATGGGAGATGAAAACGTGGAGGTAAGCACAAATCCTTCAGTGGCTGTTGCAGCAGGAAAGAAGGGGACAGGTTTTGAGTTTAGTCAAGAATAACAATCAAGGGGGGGGAATTAGTACTTCCCATTAGCACTAATAGGTATCCAGCTGC